GTAAATCAGAGCTAAAAAAGTGTAAAAACGCAGGCAAATTTGCCTGTATTCTACTACAATCTAAGGGATAATATTTAGTTTTATATATAGTCAGATCTCTATAAATGCAACCTCTTTAAATGCATATTTTATGAAAAATCTTCATAAATATACAGTCTTATTGTGTCTCTATTATATATATACTTATAGATTTTTATCTCTCTAAATACAATACCTCTCTAAATGCAAGATTTTTTAAAATTTTTATATAATCTATATGAATTGTATTTAAAGAGAGTTGACTATATAGCTTAAAATATATTTTAGTATTAGTTTTTTCTTTTTTAGTTTTATTTAGTCTTAAATTAATATAAATACTAACTATTAACTAAAAGAACTAAGTTTTTAGTAAGTTAAAGATCTAAAAAAAAGCTTTATTAAAATATATTACATCTAGATATAAGCTATAGATAAAATTTTTTAAACTAGTATTTAATAAAAAATATAAAAAATTTTTGTACAGTTTGTGATATTTAAAACCTAAAATAATTTTAAAAAACTAATAATTTATAATACAGAAAAAATATAAAAAAAGAAAGCTACTAAATTGTAACTAAAATAATTTGCTACAACTTAGCAGCTTTATTTTTAAAATAATTATTATAGATTTTTAATTTATACTATTTTAAAAATGCTTAATTTTTATATATAATATATTAAAAAATTAATGAAAATAAAACAAGTTATATGTTTAGACTCTTACTATTAATTAATTTGTTAATTATTAAATTTTATTTTCATTTTTTAAATAAACTTGTTTAATATAAAATTTATAATAATAATTTTATAAATAAAAATTTTTTTTATAAAACTGTTAAGAAAATATACAATTTTTATAAAATTTTAAAAATGGTTTAAAAACCTTAATCTATTACAGTATTTTAGTTAATTTGTAAATTAAAAATAATATAAAACTTAAAGTTTATAGTAAATTTATTAGTTATTAGGGTTTATCATTATGTAACATATTCTTTAACTAATAAATAATAAATTTGATCAATTAAAATTAGAATGCTGTAGTGTTTTTTTTTAAAAGTGCCAAATAACATTACTCCAAATAAAAAAACTCTAGGCAGGCAGATGTTTTTTGTTATAATATGTGCTACCTGGAGTTTGAATTTTTCATATATTAAAACCGGTTTTAATCGGGTTTAAAATATGAAAAATAAAGCCGGTTCCAAACTCTAGTGCCACCAAAAGAAAGCCTGATTTCGGTTTTTTTTTTGCATGGACAACAGCAGAGACTATCTGAATATAGAAGGGATTTTCATACTAAATTTCCCATAACATGATTGATCGATCAATCAAATTACCGAGTTACAAAATTTTTGGGATTCATAAAGCTAATTGCGAGCTTCTATTTTCTTAAAAAATTTTTTACATTTATTAGAAAGAATAAGGCACATAAATAATATAACCAAATTCGTTATTAATTGTGGAACAACTCCGTGTAACATCCACTGTCTCTGCTGACATGGCCCCTGAAAATGACGCATAAATGAGAAGTCTCATGCTTTGAATTACGCATCAAAGACTTCAGAGATGCCAAAAAAATAACTGGAGTCAGGTTTTTTGGTGGATTACTTCAAAAAATTAACACTTTGATTGGCCTAAATCACATGATGTAATACATTAGATGATCTTTTTTTTTTTTGTAATTTATATATTTGGAAAGTTCGGTGTACAATCTGCACTGGTAATATTAGTAATATATAACAATCGGACAAAATATTCCGTTTATTTTTCAATTGTCTATATACGAACCATATGGAGAAACGATCAAACGAGTATCAAAGGGTTGATGAACCATAACGCTATACGTAAAATTAGCATTATTCAATTGGAATTAGACATCTAAAACGTTTATCTCAAACAAAACTTTGAACTTAAATAATTCATTGACGTTAACGTTAAGTGATAAGATTATTGTATGTGTTATTTACCAAACAGTTTGCGTAACATCACTAAGCATTACAAATACATACAGTACATATCTACTATATAAGCACACACAAATACAATTATGTTTACAAAGACAACGAACATTCTTTTTCAACATCAATCTATTACGAGGGATTTTCAACGACAACCTTTAAATATTTTTATATTATACCTAAAACCCCTTATACACACAAGTCATGAAAAATAACCATAAATGCTTGGTATGTGAAAAACCGGCTCGCATAGACCCAGATACGAACCAACAATCTGAATACTGTTCAAAAAAATGCCAAAAACAAGCGGTAAAATTAAAATTGGTCGAAGCATGTAAAATATGTGAATGTTATCCAAGAATGCTTGAATACGGGCAAAGAGTGAATTGGTGTAGTTTAGAATGCAAAAAACAGTTCTTGGAAGAAAATCCAAATTTCAAACAAATGAAGATACCAAGTAAAATAAAAAAGTTAACAAATAAAATGAGCAATATTAATATAGCAGCAAAAGATGTTGAAGATCTCCCACCACCACCTTCATTTGAAGAAAGTCTTGGGGCTGAACAAGTATCTGAGAAGATAAGAGAAATTCAGACCTTAAATTATTATCCACAATCTGTTCCAACAAACGTTCCGATAAATTTTATAGTAAATGAAAAATCATCTATTAGCAATATGGACTTTAAAAATGACATTAGTCACGCTAGCAATAATATGAATCAGATTAGCAATAACACGAACAATATAAGTCAGATTAATAACAATAAGAAACAAACTAATAATAATATAAATCATATGAATAATCATAATCGAAACCCTAACAATCGAAACCCTAACCGAAACACTAATAATAGAAATCCTTCTATTCCTAACAGTCAAAATCAAAGTCCTGATAATCAACGTCAAAGTCCTGCTATTCAATATCAAAGTCCTGATAATAAACGTCAAAGTCCTGCTATTCAATATCAAAGTCCTGTTATTCAACAACAAAGTCCTGTTATTCAACAACAGAGCCCTGTAATTCAACAACAGAGTCCTGTTATTCAACAAAAGAGCCCTGTTATTCAACAAGAGAGTCCTGTTATTCAACAAAAGAGCCCTGTTATTCAACAAGAGAGTCCTGTTATTCAACAAAAGAGCCCTGTTATTCAACAAGAGAGTCCTGTTATTCAACAAAAGAATCCTGTTATTCAACAAAAGAGTCCTATTATTCAACAAGAAAGTCCTGTTATTCAACAAAAGAGTCCTATTATTCAACAAAAGAGTCCTATTATTAAACAACAGAGCCCTAGTGTTCAAGAGCAGAGTTTCGATATTCCTGATGCACAACCGGATTCAGATGCCCAATTTGATGAAGGAGAAAACATCATATATGCGGCACCACATCAACCAGTAGTCCAAAAACCACCCCCATCTCCACCACCACAGTATGTGTATGTGAATAATCCTAACCCACAGCCAATTTATGTCAATAACGCAGTCGTAAATCCTGTTAATGCATATACAATGCGACCGATTGTTCCTCAAATTCCGTCTGGCAACGTAGTTTATCTTAATAATAATAATATGATCGGATCGACTTCTACTCCACAAATGCAACCTAAAATTGTTTCTGCTTTTCCGGTAGTAACACCTCAATTGGTAAATCAAATCCAACCCGTTAAGCAAAACGTTAAAATGGTTCAATGCCCAATTCAACAGCCACCAATTCAATCAATTCAACAGCAACAACAAATTCCAACTATTCAACAATCACAAATGTTTGCCACTACACCAGTTGTTGTGCCTACATATATAGATGGAAAAAATATAATTCAATCTCAACAGATTCAACAACAGATGCCGATGCCGATGCCGATGCCACAGCCGTATCAACAACGAATTCAACAACAAAATCTGTCACAAAATCAACCACTGAATATACCATTAAATCGACCACTGAACATACCACAAAATCGACCATTGAATGGATCACAAAATCTACCACTAAACGTACCACTAAATCAACCACTGAATAGACCACCAAATCAACTACAGTTTCGACCACAATACCAGCAGAATCAATAGTTGACAACAGGGTCTGAGTCTTTACAGGAAAATATTTATAAATACAATTAGCTTAAAAAATGAAAAACAAAAAAAAAATTTTACTATTATTATAATTATTATTATTATTATTGTTATTGTTGTTTCTTCTGTTTTTTTATATTCATGTTAAAAAGGAATTTTGCAGGTAAAAATTCCATAGCATTACAATCTTTTTTACATGTTATATAATTGAATTCAATAATTCACTTAATATTAAACATCAATTACATCAATCAATTGCATTGACTATAACAAAATATTATGTTTTCCATGAATATTAATTTTATTTTATATTGTTATAAAAAATTGCTTATAACGTGTCTCATGGAAGTTACATCCTGCAAACGGTTATAAGGGATAATTTCAAATCCTTTATCTAATTTTTCTATATTAAATGTTCAGTTGTTAAATCTAACGATTTGATTAATTTTTGATCTATAAGATTTACAAAAAACTAGTCAATCACGATAAAAGCTTGGTAAATTGTCATGTAATCGGAACTGATAAATTCATGTCGTGTCAAGTGAAATATCGGCATTCATACCTAAATTAAAATTTAAAAGTATTTGTTGAGATTATATAGTTAGTTATTCATACATACTTAACCTTATATGTACACATCCCAGTTCTTTAACGTCGAGATCATTACGCGTGTATAAGTATGACGCGTAGGATTAATCATTCGATGTATTAAATGATCAATGAGAGGAGATATCGAGTAGATATATCTTTTCTCTGTAGCTAAGCACTGTATGTGAAGTGTTATTGATGATAATTCAAGAAAGATCAGAAGGGATCTGATATGTTTAATGAGCGTAAAAGTAGAATTTATAAAAGATAACTAAACTAAAACTGCATGTATAATTAATATGGAATACACACTGCCGGCAACGGTTCCACTTGTACAGTAGCCATCAAAAGTAACGCCCGATTTATAAGGTAAAAATAAAATTTTTATTTATTTTATTTTTTCATTAC